TAAATATCTGGTCCTAACTGACCTTCTTATCTTTCCTCTTGGCAAACAATTTTATTTTAGTGGAGAGAAAATGATTATAGGTCATGGGGCCGAGCCCTGACCACCTAGAAGGTCACAGCTCAGGATCAGGAGCAAATAAGACCAGACTAGAGTCAAAGGTCGGAGGCTCAGGAGATCAAGGTGCATAAGGGACCAAGAAATTCACTTGTTTACCACAAGGTTAGAGGTGCAAATTAGGGGGGTGAGGAATAGGAAGCAAGGATCCAGACAAGCCAGAGGGTCCAGAGCAGGCAGCTGTAGCTGTCAGGGACCTGGACATGGGTGCTTGCCAAACTAAAGCCATGAGCTAGCTGTCAAAAGACAAGGATATACACTGGAGTCCGGAGCTGAGGATCAGGGGGTGGAAGCAGAGTTAGGAGGCAGGAATGGGAATCAATAGGCAGGAATGGGAAACCAAGAACAATAAATCAGCAGCCTAAGACTTTTGTTCTGTTGAGTAGCCTGCTAGGCACTAAAAGAGCTGCTATAAGTAGGGTGACCATATATCCCGGTTTGGCTGGGAACAGTCCTGGATTTCATAGGCTGTCCCAGGGTCCCAGCTGGTTGGTGCAAATTGAAACAAAAGTTCTGGACTAGCAAAAGTTCTGGATTGGCTAGGGGTGGGGCCAGGGGGAGAGCACTCTTGTGAGCGTGGGCTGCTCGTGTGCACATGTGTGTGTGGCAACCCCAGGGGTGGGAGGTGGGGCAGCAGAGGTCTTTCCTCCTCTCCCACCCATCCAGCTGCTGGCAGGGACCCATATTTGGGGAGGCAGCTCTGGGCACTGTGCGAGCCGCCTCCTGATCCCATCCATGTTGCCATGTGCGAGCCAGGAGCGATATGCGGACCCGTCTTTGTGCACGCAGACTGTGGCCAGCAGCCCGGGCACGCAGGGTCAGAGGAGACCGTGCGGCGGCAAGGCACGCACGGGCTAGAATTAGTCACAGAGGCGTAGTGGTTGATTCAAAGATTATTTACTTACACCCAAGATGGTCGCGGTGTAGGCTGGACAGTTTCCAGGTTCAGCTCCGCTTAAATCCTCGTTGGAGGACTACGACAAATTCGGTTCTTGGGCCCCGGAGTTGTTAAGGCTCCGCGGGGTCGGCAATTTCTTTCCCACGGAGTTGTCGAAGCTCCGTGGGTTTGGTTCGGCTCTCTGGCCCCAGAGTTGTTAAAGGTCCGTGGGTTCGGATCTTGAGTATGTAGGATAGGGATACGTCTAGGATTGCGCTCGGCGACGGGGAGAGGCCAGAGGCTGTTTAGACCTCTGTTGCCTTCTTAAGAAATGCGTTGAGTCCGTAAGGATCCGCAGCGCTTAGAGATCTTCACGCTTTCCCTTTTGAACTCCAATTGCTCTCTCTCCCCAACTTGGGCGGAAACCACCCAAGCTCTTTATACGGCTAGCAAGCCAATCGCTAGCCGCCACGTGTGCATAATTTAACACAAGCCAATAATGGGGCTCGAATTAAAATACAAATGGTGGGAACTCTTTGCACCGAGCATTTCTTAGATGCAAAAAAAATGCACCATGCAAAGAAAGCTACAAATTGGCGGGAAATTCTCCCTTGCACCGGGGTTTTCCTATACAGCAGAAAACTCCACCGTGCAAAGAAGCTGCAATTTAGCGGGAACATAATTGAGCAGTGCCGAAGCACACACAAAACAAAAACTCACAACTTTGGGTTGTGACAGGCACTGCTCTGGAACTGCAGTCCTGGCCAGGCTGGGCCAATTGGCTGCAGGAGCAGCAGCAGCAGCAAGAGGCCCACCTGGCTGCAGCTGTTGCCATGCCAGGTGCTTGCATGCATTGCCCATGCAGGATGGACGCAGGGGGGCAGCAGAGACATGCACCTAGCTGTGCTGGCTGTGGGGATACTGTGCACCTGGGTCTGCGTGGAGGCCAATGCCCCCTGTGTGCCAGTCCATGATTCTTTCCAGGTGCTGCAGCTGGGAGTCAGAGGGGTGCTGGATGACAGGTTGCATGCACAGGGCTGGGGGGGGAATTACAGGGGCATGGAGCGCAGTCCAGCAGGAAGGCAGAGTGGCATGGTGCTCCAGGCAGGTGGGTGGGCAGGCACCATTGCTGCCTGCCTCACACATCATGCCTTTCCACCTCTGCCTCTTCCTGTAGCATCACTGTTTACTTGGGAGCGTGGGGGGTGCAGTTTCCTGGATTTTCCATGGTTCCATATAGTTACCCTATTTATAAGCAGGCAGCCACACCCATGCAGGCAATTAGGGCCAGTTGGGGGTAGTTATGCCACTGGCAATCATCCCCACTTAGGTCACCAGGGCCAGCTAGGGGCCATTTAGTGTTCCTGCTTCTCTGACTCTTACCTAAGGGTGCCTAAAACAGGACAGAAGTACATTTGTGAAAGTTCAAGTGTCCTGAATGCCCTGATATAACAGGTAGGGGTCTACCAAACTGAAGGAGGCTGATTTCTCAGGCAGATTATGGGGCTGGCCGCCATTTTCATGGGTTAAGCACAGTGGGGCTTCTCCATACTCTGATTGGCTGAGGGGCCCCAGCAGTCCTGCCCTTCCCCACAGATTGCCATGTGCCCTGAAATCGCGGCTTAATTACTCTGATTAAACCTGGAAAATCCATTAATCCATGTGACATTAAGCATGGATTAATTGCTTCCCTTGGTTTAATTAGGGTAATTATGTTGTCGTTTCGGGCCATCCCCAAGTCTTGGGCACTGTGATTTTGGCAGGCTCACTGTAGAAAAAATCCCTATGGCCTGCAGCCTTCGTGACTCCTGCTGCTAGACCTGCGTTGAAGCATCTTCGTGCCCCAGCCAGCCCCTCTGCAGCACGTTGAGCTGGGGGGGAGCAGTTCCAGGCCTCCAGACTGACTCCCCAGGCTCCCTGCCAGCTGGACCTGTTCTGACCTGGCTCAACATGCTGCGGTCCCAGGCACACATGTAAACATGGTAGCTGGGAACAATAAACTCTGGCACAGTTGTGCTAGAGTTTATTCAGGAGCACTAATTTCATGTGTAGACGCATCCACTGAGCTTAGTTTGGTATTTCTTCTGACTAGCTGTCTGCACCTTGTTGTGTGGGGTTTGTGGTGGCACAGTGAGACACTACTACACAGAGCCATCCAGCTCACTGTGCCAGGCCCAAGACTGCCAAATGAGGTTTCCCTTGGGGAGTGTATGGCTGGCTGTCCCGCTTCCTGGAGAACGCCTGCAAACCTGGGGTAACGCTGCCACCACCCGGGCACTAATCTCTGGCAGGGCTCTGTGCAGCCTGGGGCACAAAGACCCAGTGAATCTGAGGGGTGCTTTGCCCATGGTAATATTTCTGGGTGCTTCTTTCAGCCTGAAGCATCCCAAAATAGCATCAGGTAGAACTGAAGGAAAATAAAAAGACAAACTTTGCTGGGGGCGGAAGGCCTCCCTCCTCAACAGCACAACAATGAAGGTTGTAACCCAGTACCTTTATTGAACAGAGGTGGGGGGTAGAATGAGGAAGTCAGAATATACTTTGAGCAACCAAAAGCAACTTGAGTATTTACAGAGATTGAATACAGGAACCCTTTTAAGACACAACCCAAGTGAGAGGCAGAGAGAAAGGCAGGGGATTTCTTCACAGGGTTTTGAATCATCTCTCTATTTACCTGTCCCCAGACATTGCATGGAGCCAAGGTCCTTAACTCTGGGTTTTGAAATCCACTTTGGGTACCGGGTACATAAAGGAGTAGAGCCTGTAAAGGAATTGACTGCCTGTGTGACTTGTCCTGGGTTGCGCATGACGTTTGTGGTACAACAGAAATTAGCCAACCAGTTGTTAGCTAAAGGCTGCCCTTCCAAAGGCCTGATTTGTGGATATTTATTTTTCCTTCTTTAGAAGGGTGAAAAACACTTTGCATGGCTTTACATTGTCAGTTTTGAAAAATGTTGGAATTCTACTTATGCTTGTTTCCCAAAGAACAGGACAGTGTTCCGAGAGGAGCTATGGGAGAGTGGTCTGCAAAATTCACCTTACAGATAGATTAAAAGACCTCAATCCAGTTAACATACTAAGGACTGCGAGAGATGACTTCATCAAGGCACAAAATTACCTATGCAGGGAGAAGATAACTGTTACTAGAAGTTTCTTTGTCCTACCAGAGTTCTGCTTTGCAGTATCCAGTGGCTGGATGTTGATATCTGCAAAGCTGACATGGAAATTACCAGAGACTTCAACTCAAGAGCCAGTTCTGTCTCAATGGGTTGTTCCAGGTCAGCCAGAAGTTTTTGGGCCAGAGGCAGGAATCAATGGGATGCATTATGTAGAAGTTCAGACTGAGGGCCTAGATACACGTTACGTACGTGCCATTAAAGCTCATTGAGTTCAGCAAAAATGGCAGTTCTGCGGCAAAGAAATTGCTGCTTCAAACATCATCTTTGTTGTGGCAAGCCTTTCTGTGACAAATTTAATGTGTGGACAGGTCTTCTTGTCCCCCAGTATCCCACAGTGCTCTGCTCTCTTTTCTCCCCTGATAGTCCACCCAGGAGTGAGCTGTCAGGGAGCTATGCAGGGAGCCTCATCACCCATTGCAATGGGGCTACAGTTGTGGCAGGGGCTGACTGGGTGGCAGAGGTCAGCTTTTGCAGCTGCAGGGGACTTTCAGGCAGTTCTGTACCCCTTGCTACAATGTGGGGAGGAACTGGAAGGAAACCTTATGAGCAGCCAGACGTCTACGGGAAAGCTTGTGCTGAAACAGATTTATGAGGAGGGCCTACATCTAAGGAAACTTGGTGTCTATGGAGCGTTGAGAATACCTCTGGTATCACTCTCTAGCTTCTGCTATTGCTTCAGGCACATGGTACCACTAACATAACAGTAACTGAAAATAGCATTGCTCTGTTTCTTGAGAACTGGAGTTGTGTAAGAGAAGACAAAGATGTGAGCAATCAACTGTGACTATTCAATACTTTTGCATAAAACACTTCTTTCTTTCCCTCTACAGAAGCTGGTGCAGAAGATATTGATATTCTTCCTAACGGTCTGGTTTTCATTAGCTCCGTAAGTATCTGTCTCCCACTAGATGCAAGGACATGACTAGTTCATTACTTACAGGACCAGCAAGTACAAACTGCAAGCTGGATTTTTTCTGGACAAGAACTGCTTCTTGGAAACAGTGAAGACTCGAGCAGGCTCTAGCACTGAGCCAGTATTTCCTCCTGCTTGAGCAACTTGAAAAAGTTGTCCTGCTTATCGTTACACAAGCTTCCTCAGTGACCTGAGCAACTTAGCAGAACTGCTGCTGTACTGCTGCCTGAATGTATTAACATGAGATTGCCTTAAATATCTTTGACTTTTGGGAGGTTCTTTTTGCCGCCTTGTTCTCAAGCTTTTAGGGCTAAAATTTTCAGGCTCTGTAATCATGAGAGCTAGAAAAACTAAAAATAAGAATCGACCTTTTATGTTCCAAGGGCTGGCAAATCAGGGTAACTAAGGGGTTTGGGTGGGAAGAGTACAGACTCTTACGTTGCTAGAGATGGGGGAAACATTAAGGAGGATGCAGAGGTGCTATAGGGGCAGCTAGTTGGCTTGGAAAAAAACCCTTTGCTGGTTGGATATTGCAAGTAGGAATTGCTGCAGTGAGATTCCAGTGGGTGAACTCAGGTTTTTCTAAGTTCTTCTGGGGCAAGACATGCAATTGGGGTAGATGCCTTGGAAAAACCTATTGGAACAGAGAAGTGGGGTGGGTAAGCAGGAGCTCAGCATAGCAACATTTGCTGGTGTTTAGGGAGAGTTGCTGGCCCTTAAGTATGATTTGGAGGACCTCTGGAGGTATGAATGCATCAGTGATCTGGGGAGGTCCAAAGAAAAATAAGGATGGGTGTTGCTGGGGTGCAGCCGGGAGACTCCAAACAGCTGCGCTGGGCTCCGGCATCAGCTCTGCACCAGCACCTGCAGGTGCGCCTCGGAGTGGGCAGTGGGGGAGGGGCCTGAGGCAGCGCAGCCCTGGTCTCTCCCCAGCTCCCGGCAAGGAGGTGACGAGCCTGGTGCAGCTTTTTGGAGCCAGCCTGGGCTCTGGGCAGCTGCAGCAAGCAGCGGGCAGAGTACAAACAGCTCTGCCGGGCTGTACAGCTCTGGCATCAGTTCTGTGGTGGCAGCGACTGCACAGGCACCTCGGGGCAGGCTGCACTGCCCTGCTGTCCGCCCCAAGGTGCATACACAGTCGCTGCCAGCATGGAGCTGATACCAGAGCTGTGCAGCCTGGCGGAGCTGGTTGCACTCTGCCCGCTGCTTGCTGCAGCTGCCCAGAGCCCAGGCTGGCTCCAAACAGCTGTGCCGGGCTCATCACCTCCGTGCTGGGAGCAGGGGAGAGACCAGGGCTGCACTGCCTCAGGCCCCGCTCCGAGGTGCGCCTGCACACGCTAGTGTGGAGCTGATGCCAGAGCCCAGCACAGCTGTTTGAAGCCTCCCGGCTGCAGCTGCCCCCGCCCTGGGGAGCTGCTGCCAGTCGGGATCCTGGGCTGCTCCCAGCAGGCAGCTGGGATGCTGCAAGCCATGCTGGGAGCAGCCCGGGCTCCAGCAGGTACCCAGAGCCAGGGTAGCTGCTGGAAGTCACAGAGCCCGGGCTGTGAGGCAGAGGCTTTGGGTGGGGGCAAGGGGCAGTAGGGCTGGGGAGGCAGGGGCTTTGGGTGGTGTGCATGGGGCACAAGCAGGGTATCCTGCCACATACCCCTTGCCCTCATTTTGTTTTTCTGTCATGCCGGCACTCTGGCACCTTCCAAGGTAGGCATTGTGGTGTTTTTCAGCACTCCGGCCAAAAAACGTAGCCTACCCCTGTGAGGCAGCAGCAAAGGCAGGCATACATTTGGTGGTGAGCTTCAATAGGGAGGCTGCATGACTGTCATCCACTTATCTGAGACAGTGTGGAGGTTCTGGAGGTGTAGTGAGTTAAGGAGGGCTTCATTGATTTATGGAAAGCTTTAAACTTGGGGAAAGAACGTTCTTCTCTGTAACTGGGGAGTTGCACTCTTGGTTACAAAGGAAAGTCGTGAATATTTGGGCAAAGGCCTGAAAGCCTTGTCTGTGGAACCATGGCTGTCCATTGCCTTCATGTTGTGTGGAAGTGGAAGAGGACAGTATGGGAATGCCCCCTTCAGCTGTGTCCTGGGAGACCCTTGTATATTTAGCCAGACTCTGGAGCAGAGGAGATTCATGGTGTAAACCAAAATCAAAGCTCTTGTCCAGTGGTTCCCAAACTTTTTAGACTCAAGGGGCCCTATATCAATCTGAAGGCATCCCTTCAGAAATTTGTGAGTTGAGCGGTAATCCCTGTAAAAAAATAAAACAAAACAAAAAACAAAAACAATCCCCCCCCCCCAACCAACTGTTTTATTTATTACAGCATGTACTTCCTTGCACAGGGGGCAAACAGTGTGGGCAGGGGAACAGCCAGGCAGGGGGAAACTAAGCTTGCCCATATTTGCTTTTCTGCTTTTCTAACCTGCCTCTGCATTTTTTGCAGCAGCCTTCAAAGGATCTTGCAGTACTCTGGTTGAGAATCATGGCTGTAGTCTAATCAGCCTTGACTGGATCTTTTTACTTTTTACCTCAGACTGATTGTGTTTGTTCACTTTATTTTTAAAGGGTTTAAAATATCCAGGAGTTAAAAGCTTTGCACCAGACAAGCCAGGTGAAATACTGCTGATGGATTTGAATGAAAAAAACCCAAAAGCAAGAGAATTGAGAATCAGCCGTGGATTTGATTTGGCATCATTTAACCCTCATGGGATCAGCACATATATTGATAAAGGTAAGAGTTTTAAATTGGAAGAGTGGTAAATCTTAACCTAGAGTTTAAAAAGGGTCCCTTTGTTGTTATGCACTGCCTCATAGCCTGCCATCAAAAATGTGAGCTTGATAACTAAATGAAGGGGCAGGGGGAAAGGAAAATGTTGCATTTTTCTTCAAATAGTCCCTTTTTTAAAGTGTCATAAGTGACCTATCAAAAATCATCAGTATATGAATAGAGGTATCTTGGAGATCAATGCCCTGTCTAGTCTCCACTGCATTTTAAGTTGGCCAAAGGGAACTTAATATGGATTGAGGATTGCTTTCCTGTGCACAGCTGATATTAGTGGATGGGAGGTGGGGAAAATTACAAATGAAAAAAGCACGATGGAGATTGGAAATAGAAAATCTATGTATTGAGCAGTTGGTGTAAGGAACTCCTACTCTGTGCAGAAAAGGGGTATTTCAGTCATGGGGCTGAATAGGGCTGAGGGGCTTCCTGTAAGCATACTTTCTTGTCCTCCATGCCAGAGGAGAGAGGACCCTCCTGATCAAGCAAAATGATGCTAGACAGGTTCCTGGAGAATTATGTATTCTAGGCTTTTCTTTCGTTGTAATGCCAGTGTGTGTGTGAACAACTTACTTCTGTCTTTGAAATGATTGTCCTGTGTAAGAGAGAGATGAACTGGTTGCATAGCTTCCGTTGAGGGTACATGCTTGTTTAGGTTTGCTGAATGCACCACTAGGAGAAACAGAATGCCCCAAACTTAGGAACCTAGGTTTGATGTTGCGGGCCTGTCCCTTGAGAAACGTAAGCATCCAGGGGCTATTAATGATGTGCTCCCAGGAAGCCTGCATAAGGTATGGAGGCATAACATATCCTGATAGTAAAAGTTTCATTTCTTGGATGTTCAAATATGAATTGGGTGCTTTGGGAAAGGAGTAGAATATGACACCCGGTATACGGCAGTCTTGCTTCTCTGCAGGGGGTTATGCTAGGTGACCCTGAGGTCCCTTTCTGTTCTGATTCTGTGGAACATAGTGGCTCCAGCCACCACTGTTCATATATTGTCATTCTGGTGCAGTGAGGCTTAACTGAACTTTGTGTATAATATAGTACCTGTGCTCAGGAGTGTTCTTTTACTTCACTTAACCTCATCTCTGCTCTCTACCAGCCAAATATCTTGTGGCTGAAATGAAGTTCTTTTTCCATTACCTTTGGTCTGAAAGAGAGCGAGAGAATATTTTTGATAAGAGAATGTCTATTTTTTAACAGTAAAAGGCTGTTCAGACCATTGGTATTCTCTTCTACCCCTACCAAAGGCTTTCAGTAGGGCTCTCTCTTTTTCTGTCACTTGGAGGGAAAAAATGAACACAGCTGCATGCCAGTTCCATGAAGTTTTTATGGGGAAGTGGTATTGGATGTAATAGTGTGGTAACAGCTGAGCTCAGATCCAACAAGAATGTCTTGTATTCCAGTCAAAGCATATTACACCTCCACCTAGTCATAGGCAGTACAAAAGAGACAACCATTCCTTTTTAGAGGACACATTTCTGAGTCATGAGCCAGATAAATTCAAATTGTTGCTGGTCAGTGACCTTTTGGATCTTGCCTATCTCTGCTGGCTAAAATGCAATCATGGGCAAGGATGGGCACAAAGCCAACTTTAGCTTTCGGCTGGGGGAGCTATGTGCGGGGCCTTCTCTGAAAGATGACTGTGCAATCCGAGGGCCCGCTTTAAAACCAAGTAATGTAAAGCACTTAGCTGCAGTATCCAAGAAGGGAAAATCTTTTAGCTGATGCTAGCCTAAAGGGCTGGAGAACAGGTTGGATATTATCTTCCTTTGTGACCACAGACAAGCTACATTGTACTTAAGTTCTCTACCTGTAAAGTGCAGATGATAGCAGTACCTTACATCACAGGGGTGTTTTGTGAAGGTAAACAAAACAGGTTTTAACCTCTTCCCCCCCCACAAAAGGCAGCCAAATACCCCAGTAATGGAAGCTTCATGGATGGATAGGTGTTCACGTTGCCAGGTAGCCTTTATGAAACTTAAACTCAATTTATTTTATTTATCTTTTTGTTACTCTCTTTTAGATGATTCAGTGTACCTATATGTGGTGAATCATCCACATCAAAAGAGCACAGTAGAGGTGTTTACATTTGTAGAAGATGATAATTCTCTCAAACATCTGAAAACTATCAAACATGATCTTCTGCCTAGGTACTGGGTTCAAACCACCATTCTTTCTGTGTAAAAAGCTATTTTTGGTAAATGAATTAGGTAACATAACCTGAAGAGGGCTTTTCCATTTTAAAAGTTTTTCTGCAGCTTTCATGGATTCCTTCCTTCTGGATAATGCCAGAAGGCTATAGTTTTCTCTTGTCTTGTCTGTTAATAGGCTTAATTGCTGTAAAAACATTGAATACCCTCATAAGCACTGAATCACACTTATATTCTATGCTCAGGATGATACCTGTCAAATGAGATCAACGTTGTATTTGGCATCTTTCTGTTTTTCTATGGTAACAGAGTTTTTGTTTACAGTTAACATTTTCTCCTTTTGGCCAGGAACAGGCAACCCCTGGCATGTGTGCCAATTAGTGGCACATGGAGACATTTTCCTCAGCATGCCTCAGCTGGCCTGGCCCCCTGTCCCTGGGCTGTGCCCTCTGGCCCGGCCCCTGGAGGGGAGCTGTGGGTGGGTGAGGCCAGGACACAGGCAGGCGCTGTGGAGGGCCGCTGTGCTGGAGGCTCCCGCCCGGCTTGGCCCCAAGCACCGCCCTGGCTGTTCCCAGGGCCTTGGGGCCCCTGCGGCCGGGCCCTTGCACTGTGGGCAGCTCTGCCCTGCTCATGCTGTTCGCAGTGTGCAGGGAGGCCAAGCCCAGAGCCAGGAGCCCCCTGAGCCCAGCGTCCTGCCACATGCAGCGGCATCTCCTCATGGGCAGGGTGGTTGCAGCCCATCCCCATGGAGCTGCACAGGCCAGGGCAGGCCCCACCTCAGGTACTGCTCAGCACGCACACCCACCTGCCCACTGCGGCCTGAGTCTGTGGAGCCCTGAGGCAGCCCCTGCTTCCCGCCAGGCCGGCCTGCTCATGGCACCTCCCCGTGCTGCCCTTGCCTGGCCGGACCCTCCCTCCCAGCCCTAGGCCCAGGCGTTTTCTGCTCCGGGACTGTCAGGGAGGCCTGAGCGCCCTGGCGGCTGCTGCTGGGGTGTTGCTGCCTCCCTTCGCCGGACATTGTCCTGGACCCCTGGGCCCGAGCTGCAGAGGAGACAAGGAGAACATCCTCTTTCTCTTTTGCCTTTCTTTTCTCTTTCTTTTCCTCTCTCTTTTTTCCTTTCTTCTCTTTTTCTTCTTACTTTTTTCTCTCCTTTTTTCTTTCTCTCTTTTCTTTCCTCTCTTCTTTCTATTCTCTCTCTCTTTTCTTTCTCTCTCCCTGCCTGTGTCCTTTTTTCTCTTCTCTTTTTTCTTTCTCTTTTTTCTCTTTTCTTTCTCTCTTCTCTCCATCTTTCTCTTCATCTCTCCTTTTTTTCTTTTTCTCTTTC